TAGGTACTTTAAGCCAAAAGCCTCAAGAGAATGACCAATCACAGTCAAGTATGAAGAGAATACTCGATTGTGATTGGTCAATTTCTTAAAGCTTAGGACTTAAATTATCTATTGTAGACCTGGCCTTACGCTTTCATTAAATGTTAAGGCTGCGATCCCAATGAATGCGTCCAAATGCGTTACGTCACAGATAAATCAATGAAAACTTTTCTTTTCTTGACACTTTTTCTCGCGCAGAAAGAATTTGTTTTTCATTTCAGAACTGTATAGTAAATACACTTCAACGATTGCTTGCTGTGGAAAATCCGTGGAAATAAATATATTATTTGCTAGAAATTATCGTTTATTCTACTTCTATCTATATATTTTAAACATAATTACTATACTTACCTCAATCCAACTTCATGTTTCGCAATGTATTAGGGCCACAGGGCACAAAATACTAAAAGACGACGAAAAGATGACTTTTTTAAATTGACTTTTGGACATGGCAAAAAGACGTCTTATAGATGTCTTTTCGACATGTCGAAAAAGACGACTAAAACATGACGTCTTTTCGTCGTCTTTTTAAGTTATCTTTTTGGACGTACAAATTCTAGACTTTAAAAAGTCGACGAAAGGACGTCTTGTTTTAGTCGTCTTTTCGACATGATGAAAAGACATCTATAAGACGTCTTTTTGGCCATGTCCAAAAGTCGACTTAGAAAAGACATCTTTTCGTCGTCTTTTTAAGTTATCTTTTTGGACGTACAAATTCTAGACTTTAAAAAGTCGACGAAAAGATGTCTTTTCTAAGTCGTCTTTTCGACATGACGAAAAGACATCTATAAGACGTCTTTTTCGCCATGTCCAAAAGTCGACTTAGAAAAGACATCTTTTCGTCGTCTTTTAGTATTTTGTGCCCTGTGGGATATTGATATTGTAAACATAACCAAATTTGACTTTTTGTGCTTGTGTGAATATTTTCAAGAATATAAAATATAAAAAGGTTGTTACGCTGTGTGCTATAATTTTATTATGAATCTTTCAAAGAGACAAAGAAGTCGGCATTTTGCTAGACAAGCATATGAAGAATTTAAGCAATTAAAATCTCTTTGTTGTAGAAAAAAAACTTATGAGTTTAGTGATTCTGATATCGAATGGAATAACATTCCAGTATCGAAACCAATAGAATGCTCAACTAAACATGTAATACTGACAGATAATTTAAGCATATCCTCGAATTTTCAAGCAGATAGTTTACGTAGCATTGTAAATAGTTTTGATTGGAAAGAAAACGTACCTTTTGACAAATCTTTAGAGATTGATTCATTAGAAACTGATGTTTCAGAAATAAAATTAGCAAAAAAAGTAAAAGTTCCTAATAAAATAATATAATCTTTGGCTGGGCTTTATTACACAATATAACTCACTCAGCATTAGATAATTTATTACTTCGCTTAAATGAATTTGTAGATGGTCTACCCTTAAAGAGCAAAACTATACTTCATACACCCAGACAAGTAAATATATTGAGTTTAGATAATGGTTTATACACACATTTTGGTATCGCAAAGAGTCTTTTAAAAATATTAAATGATTTAAATGAAAATGTAATTCAAATTTTAAGGATTGATGTAAATATTGATGGTGTTCCAATTTATAAAAGTAGTGGAGTGTGTCTGTGGCCTATTCTTGTAAGATGTATAGATATAAAAAATAAAAATCCTTTTGTAGTTGGCATTTTTACAGGCACTGGAAAACCAAAACCTTTGGATCTGTATTTACAAGAATTTTTATGTGAGTTAAATGTTTTAGCAACAAATGGTTTTTTTTATAATGGACAACAAGTAAAAATTAAATTAAATGCCTTTATATGTGATGCGCCAGCTCGAGCCTATTTAAAATGTTGTACTTCTCATAATGCCAGGTATGGTTGTGAAAAGTGCTCCGTTGAAGGAATTAGTATCTCACATCGAATGATATACAAAAATATTTTTGCTTTACGAAGGACTGATCAATCATTCTATAATCAAGTTGATGAAGATCATCATAAAGACACTTCTCCTTTAGTAAATTACAATATTGGTGCAGTAACTCAATTTCCTTTGGATGCTATGCATCTTTTGTGTCTAGGAGTAATGAAAACTTTATTGTTTCGCTGGGTTGTTAATGGAAAACCACCTTATAAACTTTCCTTTCATTCAATTCAGAACTTTACAAGAAAAATGTTGTTTTTAAGATCATTTATTCCGAATGATTTTGCAAGAAAAACAAGATCTTTAACAGAATTAAGCAGATGGAAGGCCACAGAATATAGGCTTTTTCTTTTATATGTTGGACCTGTAGTCTTAAAAGACATTTTAGATAATGCAATTTATAAGCATTTTATGCTTTTACATTGTGCAGCATTTATTTTATCTAGTGCTGAACTCGTTAGACATATAGATTATGCTGAAGAACTTTTAAAAAATTTTATCCTGCATGCAGAACATATTTATGGAAATCAAATTCTAGTTTATAATTTTCATAATCTCATTCATATTTGTGATGATATTAGAAAGTTTGGTTTATTATGGGATTATTCCTGTTTTCCCTTTGAAAATTTTTTAGGCAAATTAAAAAAATTGATTCGAGGTCCATCTAAACCTCATCAACAAATTTGTTTACGCATTAATGAGTTGAATATGCTTAAATTATCTATTAAAAAAGATAGTGTACGGGTAGTACATTCTCACATTAACGGTCCTATACCGAGAGAATATAAATATACAAAACAATACCATAAAATAATTACACCATTGTATACTTTATCAATATCACACAATAACAGTCATATAGAATTATAACGGGACTATTGCTGTAGTTAAAAATATTTTATTTGACAAAATCCATACGAAACATTATGTAGTTGTCAATGAATATAAAGAGATAAAAAACTTTTACAACTATCCATGTAATTCATCTAATCTTCATACTTTTAAAGTTTCTAATTTAAACCCAACAATTCATACTTACGATTTAAAAAACGTGAAAAGAAAATTAGTTGCTTTACCAGATAATCAATCTGAAATTGATACATATATTGTATTTCCATTATTACATCTTGATAAATAAAGTTTTTAAAATTGCATTTGTTGGATTTATACATAATTACTTTTGTTTTATATTTGTAATCGAATTATTATGTCAAAATGTATAAAATTGTTTAGTTGAGCATTAAATATGTTGAGCAATAATGAGTTGCGTATAAAATTTTCACTAGCAGTCTTTATTATGAGTTCTTAATATTATTAATATAAAGAAAGTTTAAAATATCGGAATTAAGTATCGGAATCAACTTGTTTTAATTAAGTTTTATTTATTAAATTTCAAGAAAAATATTAAAAGTAATTATTTTTTAAATTTAATTAATAAAATATTTAAAATAATTGTTTTTATATATATTTGTATAATTATAATATAGTATTTATTTTAGAAATATGTATTGTGTGGCTGAATTTATTGAAACTGCAGAAACGGAAGTTATACCAACAAAATGGATTAACAAAGAAGGTACTAAATGCTATTGGCCTTATTACAAAGGTACCGATCGAATTAAAAAAGCTATTTTATCAATTGAAATTCCTGATCCAGAAAAGTGGGACGAATATGATACCAGAATATTACATAAATATAGTGAGTACATTTATGTAACAAATTTTATTATTTTCACACATCTTATTTTACAAATTGTTGTTTTATTATTTTTATTTCTTATATTATTTTTCAACAATACGAATAAATTTTTATTATATATTTAACTTATGTGAAATCATAAAATTTTTTAACTTGAAAATATATTTATATGTAACAAATTACAAGAATTAAATCTGAAAGGTAAACTTTATATTGCTATCGATAAATAGACACAAGTAATGAATGACAATAATATCTAGATAATGAAAGATGTTTTTGCTAAATAAACACACTTTTTTCTATTTGACTCGAATGTAATTAAGAATAAACTGAAAAATTTCAAGAATGATACAATTTCATGATCGACATTGCCCATGTTCAGAAGACAGAGATCAGTGAGCGTTCGGTGATTTATATGATTGGTTTTTGCCTTTAAATAGAGAATCACTAGATCTAATTATAAGTGTAGAAACAAATCATAATAAAAAGAATTACTGAGCATTCATTGATCTGTTTCATCTAAACGTAAACCATTGCTATCGTTGATCGAGAAATCAATTTTTTCTAGAGGGGCTAAACAAAACTAGAATTGATACCTCCTACTGTCTCCTACCGCTTACTTCTATATTTATCGGTTTATATTGAATTCACAGATGCCTACAGATATCTCTGGCTCTAACTAAAAAACAAAACCAGCATCTTATTTAAAGTATAAATATAGAAATACAATATATCACATGATGAACTTTGATGCTTGATTGCAGATACATATCAAGAAGCTCGCTCTCATTTAGCAAAAGCTGTATATACATCTCATTTAGATTCAGAAGAAGATAATGAATGTAGATCTAAAAGAAAAAGAATATCGAAAATTTATTCTTCGAGTGAAGAAAGTCTTATTTTAAAGAAAAAAAAACAATACAAAAATAAAAGTAAAATAAGGTCCCCACCTACAATAAATTTATTTGATAAATGTACTTTAGACAAGGAAAACTTTGTAAACTCTCTAGCAGAGTTACCACGTGAAAGGACATCCAAAGTGAATGATAATTTGAGTTCCTCCATTGTAGCTACTACTTCTTCTACGACTGATCATAATAATAACGATAATAATGAATATAGAGATAAAAGAAGAATGTCGGAGATTTATTCGTCAAGTGAAGACAGCTTTGTTTTAAAGAACTCAAAGCAAGACAAAAGTAGAAGTAAAATAAGATCTCCTACAATTACATCATTTGATAAATCTACTTCAAACAGGAAAAACTCAACTCTAAATTCTAACTTTCAAGAGGTATCACGTGAAAGAAATTGTATGGAAAATGAAAATTTCAGTTCAGTTTATTATGCCTACTACTTCCACGAACAGTAACAGAAATGCAGGTTGGTTTTTTTTAATTAAAATATTTGATTAATAATAATATTTAGCCATAATTATAAGTTTAGAATGCACTTTTGATCAATTAGATTGTATTTGTAGTTTATTTTCATATTTGAGACCATTTTAAATATATACATATACTCTTAAAGATGTGATAAATCAACTATAGAACTGTATTAGCCGTATTAAAATATTATTTAAGACAGTTTTAAATTAAATCTATAATTTTATCTATAAGTATATTAACCATTAGCTTTTAAACTAAAATATATAAACAAAAAAAGTTAAAAGAATAGAAATAGCTCTAATTTTATAATTTAGAAAATTTTTTTAATATTACATTTAAAAATTTGCAACAAACACATGCTAAATGTGCATTAATATTTTATAAAAATATTTGCAATTAAATGTAATTTATTATAGATCATTTAATATAATTAACAATATTAGTGATAGAGGATGAATAAAAATCCTTAAAAATTAAAATGATAATCTTAATTAATCTAATACTAAATATTCAAAATTCAGAATTAATTATTTACAGATTATGATTGTTTTAATAAATTATTAGAGATAACAAAGAAATTATTGGTTAAAATATTATTTTTATTATAACAATATTGTTATAATATACTGACACAATAACTTTGTCTATTTTTAATGTATTCCTCTTTAATTATATATAGTCACAATCGTTCTTACAAGTTAAAGCAAAACTTCTATTTTTTTTATTGCAGATGAATCACTGCATTTGTTAATTTTGAAAAAACTTAGGAAACTCGATTATATCCAAAATAATGTTATTATACCTGATATACAAGAAGTATTAAGTTATGTAAAACCTGAAAGATTTGAAGTTCAAGAAACAAATGTCCCAATAACACTGCCAATTGACAATGACACACAGCTTAATGAATTTGAGCAATACATTTCTATTACTGAAAATTATAAGACCATGGTAAGTGTTTCATTTTTTTCATCTGGTTTGAATTTAGTGGGAGACTTTCATTAATTTAATATTGTGTACTTTTTTAGATATCAAAATTTAGTCATATTGGAGGTAATGGTGCTGCAGGGATTACTAGAAAAATAATGAAAAATCTTATAACGTCTAAGTTTGCGATTAATTTTAATTGGGGAGGAAGGGTTCCAAAGAGGCCTTTTAAAGAACTTAAATCAATGCATTTGCTTCTTGGTATGTTTTAGAATGCACTTTTGAAAGAACTTTGTTTTATGATTTTATCTTATTTTTTTAATTCTCTTAATTTAGCTGCTTTTTCTTTATAGATTCTGTACGTAAAGCACTTCCTTCGGCGTCAACGCAAGAAATTGAATCAGCTATTAAAGATTGGCTGAAACAAGCCAAGACGAGAGTTAGGTTGCATAATTCCTAATCATTTCTTCCAAAGATATATTACACATATATTTTTATTTTATTATTAGTAAAAGACATATATATTACACATATATTTTTTTATTTTGTTATTAATCAAAGATATATATTACACATACATTTTTATTTTATATGCTAGTCTTTACTTTAAAAATATCTTTTATTTTGTGATTATTATTTATGCGAATACATAACTTTCTGTAATAACTTGTGTATAACTCCTGTTTCTGCAAAATTTAATACATTTACTTGTCAATACATTCTACTTTTCATTATAATATGTATTCATTATAATATGTTTTATTATCATATGTAATTCAGTAAACAATTATTTTAAATAAAATAACATTTCATTAAAAAATTAATATTTTTCCAACTCCAATATAAACAATATTTAAGTGTACATTTAATTTGTATTAAAGAGGTTTCTAGGTCAGTATTTATAGTAAGATCTTATATTTATGATCGTCTTAAAATCTCATTCGCAGACAATGAAATAGCAGTATTAGTGTTATTTCATTGGTTGGGTGAGATCTTAAGACAATCTTAAACATAAGATCTGACGAATACCGCCCTAGATATATTTTTAAACAACGTTTACTTTACAACGTTTTTTTAACGTCTTTTTTACTAGTTTAAAAAACCGTTTTCATACGAGACATTTTGACCGGTTAATAAACGTATTTTTATACATCACAAAAACGTTTCGGCTAAACGTTTTTAAAACATTTATTAAACGTAACTGTGCTGCTTGGGATGCTGTTTGTCAATAAGAGCCACGTAAAGCTCTCATATTAATACGCAAATTTTGTACAAGACTTTCAGGACTAGTATTTCCTTACCTTAATCTATCTAAGACAAACGCAAACATTTGGCCGAGTTCAATAATATTCCATAACGAATAAAATAAGTAATCATTTCGTCGAAATTTAGAATCCTGACATATAATACGTACTTAACAATAATCTAATGGCGTTATATAATATATTGTCGTGATGGTTCATGAAGTCCATTCCCCGTCTTTTCGGAAAAAGCAAAACCAAGCTAATTATTCAGCTCGAAGTTCAATATGCATCTGTATAGGTTCTGTAGTTTTTCGCCACAATGTGTATAACGGAGCATCTTCTACTTCTTTTTCAAAAACAGATTGAACATCAGGTATAATTTCATCAATTGGCTATAAAACTGAAGACGTAATGACAATATCATTATTGCTGTTTTCAATATTTAAATTTAAATCTGCAGCATTCTCAATATTCTTATGAATATTTAAATTTAAATCTACTGCACTCTCAATATTCTTATCATTTATTTGACTTTGTTATAATGCATATGAGGATAGCAGTTATAGTATACTGATTAGTCCAGAGAAAGATAGGGGATGTGTGTAGGAAGATGTCGGATGCAGTGCATTGTTTCCCTCTAGTAACATCAGAAAGCATATCATAATGTTGATGTATGGAACCTCTGATTATTGCTTTATTCCCAGAAATTTCGATTAAATCTGTCTTTGATTTGAGGTTTGCACTTCAGATGGAACACAATTATTTACATCAATATTCATGTCATTACCCTGTGTTACAATTACTTGACATATTTGTGAAATGTCAAAATTTGTAACATCAAGATTAATATTAATATTTCGATATAAAGGATTATTTTCTTCCAACCACAATAAAGCAATTGATAAATTTTGCAAGTTTATTTGGAATTGTCGGCATCGTTCAACATTTTCCAGTTGTTCATATACAATAAGTATGCCTGTTCTTGCAATTGGTAATGGTAATTTCTTCTATATCTTGTGCGAATAAAGCTTGTCCTTGAAAACCTGATTGACCAAATCGTCCACCTGATTGACCTGATCGTCCACCTAATTTAATAATTTTTATAAATGGAATGATACTTAATAAAAGTCTTTGTTCCGTTACGTCCAGAGGAGCTCACGATTCTTTTCTTTCCCATATCTAGTGCACACGTGCACGATTTCTAAAGCCGTTAATAATAGTTAAATTGAAGCGGGATTCTCAGTACATGCTCTAAAATAACAATCGGATATTAACGGGCTATAAAAGTAGCATCCGGCTAAATAAAGCGGCAGTCAGTCAGACAAATTTGATATTTTCTTAAAAACTCATAAACCTAAAGAAGCTATAAAAAATAAAAAAAACTAATCATAAAATGCGAGTGACCGGATGTCGCGACATGTACCCGTTTTATATCAAGGGGGTAGTAAAAGTCATCCCTTGTCTTTAGCAGACGCATCCTGCAAGGCATAAATTACTACCACCTGCGATACTGAGAATCCTAAATCCCCCGTTTTGGAAAATGCTCTCCTATTCGCGAACGAATGTGATAAAATTCTGATTTGTTACATTTGTTCTAAAAAGCTCATAAGTAGGGGCAGAGAGGAGACCATGGAAATCTAACAAAGATTTCTATTCGTCAACCTTCCTTATTCTTCACGTTAGGAGAAGGTAATCCAAAACGATATATAAGCGCGAACTTCGAACAACACTCGTCAGAAAAATTTGTTCAGTCAATTCATTCAGTCAATTCATTCATTCATACAGCCATATAGTCACTCACTCAGTTACTTAAACTATTCTGAAAGATTTCGAGACAGATATTCTGTCATTCATATAGAGTCAGTGCGAATATTCAGGCATTGCCATCAGCCAAATATATATATACATATATATATATATATCAAGTCAACCCAAGAAACCTTCTCATCTTCAATACCAAAGGAGGCCAGCAGCTATTACTGTTCACCGGTACTCGCTCTTACAAATAGTAAGTCTCTTCTTTATTTCTTTTCAAGATTCCTCTCCCTCCATCTACTCCCTTTATTTATAATAATCGTTTCCCTAGTGGAATTCACGAGGAAATCCGCTAGAGCCCACGCTAAGCGGCTCCGATACTGCCGTAACCGACGTACCCGCCGACTACTGGCTCGGGCTGTGGCCGACCCTTCTTTTGTATTAAACTTAAGCGAAATTAACAAGGATCTACCTATTTCCCGTATCGTTCTAAGTAACTTTCAAGGAGATATGCGGGACTCCTCACATCCGTCCCCTCGATCTTCTCCCCCTAATTACTCTCCATATATTCTTCCTGGAACTCTTCCTCCAAGTTACTCGCCTGTGCATGACGCACAACCTGACCATCAGCCTGATTTCCCGCCGGTGTCACTCTCTCCTCCACCCCACGCACCAGACTCTCATCTTTTCCCTCCTCCCGCTCTCCCTATCTTCTCCGACATCGATCTTAGCGATCGAAATGTCGCAATAATCCTCGCCTCAACTTACGCTCCGTACCCGTACTTTATCCATCCAGACCAATTCACCTTGGGCCCTGGTCCTATACACATTCCTACTCTTAAGGACTTTTTTCGGACCGCCCCTTCTAACATCTGCATCCCCTGTTTTACTCCCTTCACCAGTTACCCCATCGCCCTTCTCATAGAATTCTTGCGAGAAAGATATCCTCCCGATTCTGATCAAATTCCCTCCGTCTCGCATACACCCACGCACACACACATACCCACACACACACACACACACACGATTATACTTAATATTGTACTTAATCAAGATTAAGAAGTTCACATAAATACTCAACTTCATATATAAATGTTCTTTGTTTGATTTTCATAATATATAATAAACTTAATTAAATCTATTCTTTTGCATTCAACTTAATCGATTCCCCCTCGTCACCCACGCTCCTGAATCGCACTTGGTCCCGTCCCAGGTAAAAAGGATTAAGTTCCTTTACCGAAAAGGGGACCGACGAGCGGGCATTTGGACCAGAAATAGTGTAAAATCGACTCTTGTGGTCGTTGACCTATCTTTGGCTCACCCGCAGGCTCGCTCGACCCGACACACTTGCCCTTAAGGCACCTATTCTCGGGATACAAGTGTTACGCTCTTCCTTCGGCCCATCCTTCCTCGGGCCTGGACGTAACAGTTCCATATCAATTAAATTTCGTGTAACATCTGGAATTTCTTCTGAAAAACATAACATTACTATCATGCTTGTGTTGGAACTTTTTTTATTAAATTAGCACAACGGAAACATGTAACTATTTCATTTAATTCACGTAGCACACTAGGAAAAATATCTGCTATTGTAACAAACATTTTTGTAACACATAACTGTTTTTTATAATATAATTTTTTTACAAATATTACAAGCGATATCTGCAAAAGACCATATAGTTGAATAAAATTGTTGTAATAATTTATTTCTATGCATATCAATATCAGATTCTTAAATTTCTTGAGAGATCGGTAATATATTAGCCTGTAATGTTTGATTATTGGATGACGTATTAATTATATTTTGGAAATGTGTTGATTATTTACTACAGCAAAATTTATTATTTTTTGTTATTTATTGTGCAATTGCTTTCTCGTTGCTTCTAATGTCTGTGCATTATCTGTTGATATAGAAGTTTCTATTGATTTTCTTTTTCGATAGCACTGTAACGGTGCATCTTTCCCGACGCCGCGGATCGGTTCGTCGGAGTCAGGGTTCGGGAGAAGGGGAGGCTCAGGCTCGCAGAACACCACACAGGCACAATTTAAAATAAGTTTGCTTTATTCAAAGAAATCAGGTATGGGACAAATAGACAGGCGAGTTTCGGGTGATATGACCGTGCAATCACCACAAAGTATAATCATACATCTACCTTCGAACAAATATTTACACGGAGTTGCAACGGAATTACGGACGCGTCTTTAACCGTTTAACCGTTTTACATTATCCGGACACGAACGCACCTAAACCTAATAACTACGGAACTGCCTAACGCTAATTAAACCTATTTACAATGACTCGTGTATCGAAAACAAGCCTATGCCTATGCTATTATACAAAAGCGCGTACAAACCTTCGTAACGCGGAACGCGGAGAGTCTAATGGATGGTCGCGTGCGATGGGGCATGGACACGGAACCTGTCAGGGTCTGCCGACCGAAGTCGGCTGAGGACGGGAGCACCTCTCCTCAGGGTGGCGTACACGGGTGC